GGAGCAGAACAGAAGGCTGAGAACGAGGTGAAGTAGAAGGAAGAATTCTCCTCTATTGCTTCTCACTAACCAACAGAGATGAAATACCCTTAAACTGAGAAATGAATCCCATTGGGGGGTTTTTTGTTTTCCTTTTAGATTTTGCACAAACACCCTCTCAAAACAACACACTGCTATTCAGATATTTTATTATCTATACTATTTACACTTTTAATTTTCAGTAACACTTAATAATATAGCCTGCAACATCTCCTGTAATACCCCTTAAAGTACTATATACTTTTTCTGAGTTTACTGTGCAACTATACTGTAAATATTTGAAAGCAGTTGGTCAATTCAGAGCGTTTTAAAAAGACAGGACAAAATGTATCCTCTAAGCAATTTTAAATAGTAACGTCTAAAGTTACATTCCAGTTCTGTATTGGCTAAAATGTTTATTTTGCATTTGTTTCAGGAAAATCAGTACAGGTATTACAATAAAAACAACAAAAGAATTTTGAAAGCAGTTGACTCAGTAGTTGGCGCCCCCCCATCTAGTTTTGTAATATGTTTATAATAACCTTGGTAATGTCAAACAATATTATTGAGTAGCCTAACATCCTAATATTGCCCCGACTGCTTGAAGAGTTTGTGTGTGAATCTATGGTCGGCTGCCCTTCCTCAGAAACCCTGATGCTTCTCCCAGAAAACTGAATTTGAATTGCAAAAACTGAGTTTGAGTTATGAGAACTGGATTTTAGTTCTGAGAAACGAAAAGTAATAAAAGTAATATGGTGTGAAGTTGATTGATTTTAATTTTGTAAAGTTTCGAAATTCAGTTTCACAAATACATTTAAGCTTAATCTGTGTAATTCACATCCATATGTAATTATATGAGTTGAAAAATTCACATCAAATTATAAATAACTAAAATGTAATGTTTAGTGGCACATATTTCTGACAATGCTATAACCATAAAGTATTTCGACGTTCGAATTTAAGTATAATTTGTTTAATTTTAAATATACCCTCTTGTTCTCTCGCACCTGTTTGTAAGTTTTCAAGTGCGCTAAATTTCAAGGAAATTAAACCACAAGCTACACGTTGTAGTTTGTCCATTTTTGCTTTCGTTATACTGTATCTTTTACACTGTGGCTTTCCATTTTCAAATACGGTTCAAGATGAATTTGGTTTGCATTGTAAATTCTCAAACAGCGCCCTGCCTGATTTAACAGAAAAAGTTATTTCTTTGTTTCAGGAAGGACTCAATATTTTGCACTGTGCTGCCATCAACAACCATACTGAAATCGTAGACTACATTGTAAATGACCTGCAGATGAAAGAACTTGACAAGGATGACCTGGTATGCAACTTGCACAAAACAATTGTGTGGCAAATTTCATTTTGCATGCACTACATGTGATTACCTGAGCCTCTTTTCTTGTGTTTCAGTCAGGACACAGAGCATTTGCACTGGCAGCAGAACACGGGTGTGTTAAGATGTTACAGGTGCTCATGGAGCCATACAACATGGCCACCATGAAGCCCAACAAGGTGTGCATGAGGACTTATTTGTGCGATTTTGCTGCATCTATTTCCGAGTATATGGCTGTTTATGCTCACATGTGCCTTGAGTGCACATTTCAGTGTCACACCTGCAAGAAAGCTCAAAGTCAAACACTCTTTGATGCAAGCTGTTTCCCTCCCTCCCTTCTGCCAGAGAGGGGACACGCCCCTGCACTTAGCTGCCAGGAACGGCCACTTGGATGCCATCCAACTGCTGCTGCAGAGCTTTGATACTCGGGATGAAGTCAATATGGTAGACAATCAGTGCAAACATCCTCTCTATCACGGTTTGGTTTGTGACAGTGTGAGCTCAGCGGCTAATCCACTGCTGGATGCTGGCTCCACTTGGGATCAATTGAGATGAATCAAACATCTACCAGTTAGTATAATGACACATTTAGCTTTCTGGATCGAACTTTGGCAGGTAACAGGTAAACTGAACATGATAAATGTGTTCCTTTGTATTAGTACTGATGTGGCTTAATGATGCATTAAAGTAAGAGATAATTACAAAACCTTACCCCCCAAAAGATCTGCAGTAACTAATTTATTTGCTGGCATTTAATTGAATGATCCAAGCCAACGTTCCCTTAGTGTAAAGAAATTCTACTTTGTTATAACTAATAATAATAATAATAATAATAATAATAATAATAATAACTTAAAATGTTAATTATGTTAGAAGAATTTTCCATTTGCATCATTGCTGACGGATGTTCTGTGCTGCAGGATGGTGAGACTGCTCTGTACCAGGCTGCAGACCACGGTCAGGAAGAATGTGCTCAGGTCCTGCTGGAGGCCGGTTGTGACCCTAACATACTCACAGTGGTACGTTCAGGCAGTATACCCGGCCAAGTTTTACTGAACCAGTGCAAGCTAAGAGAAAAATACACACATCAAATACTTACAGTAATCAATGTTCATAACATGCAAGTTCAGAAAATCATGTGTTTTCTTTGGTAACTTTTGTTTGTGTACAGGTGTATTTTCTTGGCGTTTTTTGGTACTGTGTAGATTCAAATGACTAAATACCTTTTCTACTGTTCTGCTTTTAACCGTACTACTAATATAATATGCATTATGGTGTTTATCCTGAAAAATATGTTATAAACAAAATCAGTTTTTAAAGATTCTTCTAGACAGTACAACTGCACTCACTTTGTACTCTTTGTAGGCCAAATGCAGCGCTCTCCATACAGTTGCAGAAAAAGGAGACGCGGCTCTTGTTCAAGTTCTCTTACAGTACAATGCCCAGGCGGACTTTCAAAATCAGGTAAGTAAACAACCAGATAGGAGGCAGTGGCAGAGTAATCCATCTTTTATGAAGCATAATATTATTGCTCTCAGGATCTAGAGACACCTCTCCACCTGGCAGTGAAGAACAGTCACATCCCTGTTATCTACTACTTATTGGAGGCTGGCTGCAATATCAATGCCACAGATAAGGTACAAGCTCCTGCCTAAGACAGTAAAATAAAGCATCCATGAACATAATGTAGACAAACTAATTCCTGCGTATCGTTATGTCGTGTCATGCTTTGGACTGTTAGAGGTCCCAGACAGCTATGCACATTGCTGCTGAGACTGCCAAAGCTGAGGTTGTGGAAATGCTTCTTAAAGCTGGGCCTGATCTAACAGTCAAGGACCGGGTAAGATGCATTTGTCATATTAATAAAATTAAACTGTATACTAATGCTATCCAAACAGCAAAAAAATGATAATTAATGTAAGCCTTTGTCGCAGCATGATACATTGAAAATACAAGAAAAATCAAACTAAATGCAATCTCTTGCGGTTCTAATTGAATTTGTTTTTCACTGTACATGCTGGATTCGGAGTAGCAGGGTAAGACTGCTCTGGGTGTTGCAGCCAGAGCAGATGAGGTAAACATTGTGGACATGATCATCAAAGCAGAACGATACTATGACCAGAAAAAGGTGAGGGGATAATCAAATGATACTTGTAACTTTCACGAGCATAATCCATTCGCGATGCTTTGAAATCAATAATTACTTTCACCATGAATGATTCAGTGTCACATCCTCGATTAGCTGAATCCCCTCTAATTCTATTAAAGCATTCACTGTAAAAGTGATTCGGAGCCCAGAAACATTAGACATACGATTTATCATCAGTTTAATTAAGAATATGCCTTATTCTCCTTCATTATTGATTTTCAAAATGTTTCACTCTGACATTTATATTGCTAATCATACGTGTTAGTGTCTTGCCAAAATTTTCTTCCTGTGCCCCTCTGTTGTCTGGAGAGTGTGGCCTTTATCAGCCTGCTGACATGATTTAATTGCCCTTTCAGGCTAACCCTGAGCTTAATGAGATTGTTCGCACCGAGCATGCACTGACGTTCAAATTTGACCGCCGCAGTGAGAACAAGGAGCTGTATTCGATGGCCTGGCGCCTGGCGTACAAGCTGCTGAAACCAGGAGACTGGAAAAGACTGGCAACACACTGGGACTTTACTCAGGACCAAGTGTCTGCCATCGAGGAGCAGTGGACAGGTGCCATAACTCACACACTGACAGGGCAGGTTTCTGCTGTGCATTTGGCAACCCTCTGAAAATCTAACTTAACCTTCTTGAGTCAAACACATTAATTAAATACCCTGAAATCTTAGGTAAAAAAATGAATATCCCAGTATGACATTGAAATTTTTACAGCTTATTTTCCAAGTTGTAATTTGGTATCTTTAGGGTATTTTTTGCAGGTTGACCTTTTTTTCTGAACTTAAAGGGTTGTGCGTTTACCTGCAGGTCAGCACAGCTATCAAGAGCATGGGAACAGAATGCTGCTGATCTGGCTTCATGGGGAGGAGCTGGCTCTGAAGGCCCCTGCTAAAGACCTCTACCAGGGCCTCATCTGCACTGGGAACACGAAAGCTGCAGGTACACTCTGTTAATAAGTACGCCGATAAACAGAAATTTATGTCTTCTGCACCGCCTGTTCCAAAGTTTTACTTCATCAAATGTTCGTCTTTCAGATAAGATTCGACTGGAGGCAGAGCAAGTCAGCAGTAAAAGATGTACCATTTCATGAAGAGGAACACTGCAGTATTTACACTGTTCGCATCTCTACATGACTACTGCAGTGAAATAATTTATTTTAAAAATAACGTTGTGCGTCACACAATTAGCATATAGCTTTGGTTTCGTCAAGTAAACAACATGTGCTGTTGGATGGTCGCCTTGCAGTACACTTCAGTACACAGTTATCTGTGCACAATTTAAAGCAAAGTAATAAATGTTCATTTTGGAATTCTCTGAACTTTTGTTCCATCTGTAATAATTACAAATGAAACACATTCACATTTAAAACTCTAGGGTAATAAAAAAATATATACATACATATATATATATAAAATGGCCTTCATATCAAGACAGAAAATTCCATCAAGTTGGATTTTTGCATAGCTGGTCTTAAGGAAGATCTTTGACATATGTGCGTGTCATCAGTCAACTACTTTGATGGAGTGTGTGTGACAGGTGCTGCTGTGCGTTCTGGAGGAGGCTCTGCCTGCAGTGGACATGTGGCCCTTTTGGGAGGAGCTTGGAAATTTAGCAGCTGTGGCTTGCCCAATGGTGAGCTAAAAGAAAGCAAAAAACAAACAAAAAAAACCCCGTTTAAATTGCTTTTCTAATTTACATAAACAAAGTTGCATTTGAACAATGTGAAAAATAAAGGGTACCTTTATAAAGTTAAGTGATTTTGCTTATAGAAAAACAAAAATCAAACAGCACAAAAATATTAAAGTCTGTTGTTTTAATTCCTATGATGTAGGCATCTTCTCATGCACCCCTGGACTGCTTCCAGCATACCTGATTTTATTTTTTTAAGATCAGTCCGATTATCACCATTTGCACTGGGAACTGAGATTTCCCCACTGACCAAAAAAACCCCCCAAAACATCAACTTTTGTTTCAAGGTGACAGAATTTTTATTGGTGATGAGAGTTTGGGCTTGGGCTAAAACCCAAAGACCAAACTGCAGTTTCCAGTATAAAACTTTGGTGCTCTGGTGAGTCCTCGAGAGTCAGATTATCAATGCAGACATCAACTATAAGGTCCTGGAGAAACCAGCTGATGTGAAAAATAATGCAAATTTAAGTATAGGGTTTAAGTGCAAAGTCACTTGAAAACCCTAGAGGGAGCAGTCTAAAAGCAAGAGCTGTGCTAGATGTGGTCCGAGATACGCAACAACATGACCTTGAAGCTAAAACTGTGCAAAGATTCATAAGTATATGACTGCAAGACTCGTAAAGGAACAGTATCGATGCATCACATCACATACCTGCGTAACAGGATGATGCCGTTCGACTACCACAGAGCTCATGGGTGGAGCCACTCCCATCACCTGCAGGCTGCTACGTCCCACCTTACTGATCTCATGGCGCGCAGTGACACGAGCCGTTACAGTCTTTGAGGATTTTTGTTGACTTGCTGTGACGACACGAGTACCTACCTAAAACAAGCAATATTTTTAGTGTTATATACAAATGTGATTTTTGATGAAGAGCTTTAGATGGCACAGTACAGACAACAAAGCAGGACATAGATTCAGCTGCACACTAACCTTTTTGTGGGAACTTGCAATTCCCCCAAGAGGGAGTGAGCTGTGCACCACCGTAGTGGGAGGGAGTGCTTCTTCTTGGGACATGGGGGCACCAGAGCCCATCTACAAATAAAGGCAACAAGTGAACACAGGATCAGGATTTGGGATTTAGAGGAAGTTAGTCATAGTGCAGCTAATTTAAACAAAAAGTATAACAAAGGAAATTCAAGACTGCTCTACAAATTTTTCTTTTTTAGGGCAATCACATGATTTATATGTGAAGCCAGAATTGTCTGCGACATAAAGTAATAAATAATCAAAAGAACAAAATGATCCACGTGAAAGGACATGCTTAACATTCAATAAATACATTTCAAGAACCACGAGTGATTTGGAAAGACACTGTACTATGGTGTGTTTTCATTATAAATTAACAGTGACTTGCCACATCATCTGCTTCACTGTGCGACGGGCCTGGGTGGTCAAAATGGACTGGACTGAACTGTGTGGAAGAGGTGGCATATGGCTGGAGCTGAGCCATGGCCGAGGAGCCACGCTCATCCTCACGAGGCAGAGGAACTACGACACAAAAAAGAAACCTTCATTGAGTCATTAGGACTCAGTAATAACTCATTTTTATTGTAGTTACACAAAAATCCCCCTTTAAACTGGAAATCCTGAGTTTGTATTTGAATGGGAATATTTCAATGATCTCTTGCTTGTCAGATGACACATAAAGTACCCATTTTAAACCACAGGTGTAGCAGGAGCTGGGGATTCATAACTTCTGCAAAAGTCCTATAAAGTATAAAATATATAAATATGTGCAGTTTAAAAAAAATCCAAAGGAAAAAAAAAAGTGCTCATTTTTAAAGCAACAGGAAAGGGTAATCAATTAACCGCCCTGGCTGACAGCATCGTATTAACATACATTTCAGTTTGGAAGACTCATTAAACCTGAAAGCAGATGGATGAGCAGATGCCCATGCTAGGCTTCATTTCTACATGCTAAAGATAGTAAGATCCAAGTCCAGCAGCCAGGGTATCAACAAAAAACAAAAACAGATTCAGACAACAAATCTGACGACAGGTGGTGTAAATATAATGATGAGATATTTTTCCCAACTCATGCCAGTGGGACATCTTGGTGATAATCATATGATGCTAGTATTTTAAACACCGCTGGTCCGAGTTTAAGGTTTTCTACTGAAGTGTCAGGTAATAGTCCAAAGCTCTTAATCCAATCTTCCCAGCATTTACATACAACTAACTAATATTCATTCATTACATGATTCTTAACATGGTTCAAAAGGGTTTTAAATTTTATCAACCAATTTTTCATTGCCACATTAAGCTTGCCAACCTGTGCAAAGTACCTTTTGCGCAGTGCTGAGCATATTCACAGATTTAACTTCATTAAATGAGGCTTTCAAGTAAAGTGCAAAGACCCCATTCCCTCCTCTCAATCATAAATCTTAACAAACGTCAATAGCACATGGCTGCACTCTATTGGAAAAATGCTGTTTCCATCTTGTCTTTTTGTTTCAATCTCCAAAACTGCGCTAAATCAATACACCGCAGAGGCAAGGCCCACGATGCAACCACGGTACATTGTATAGAGCATCAGTCTATATATCATCCTAGCAATACATGCTTTAGTGTGCTACATTTCTACGAAGATAAATGTTTTTCTCCACAGGCCACAAATTTACTACAAACCATGCTGATCATGAGCTGGAGGTTGTTCTGCTCGTCCTTCTGTAGAGTGAAACATGCTGAGCGCCTCCATGTTGAGAGCACATACACCCCTCATGAAGGCTTTCTTCATGGATTCTTCATATCGCTCTCGCTCTAATCGTAGTCTCTGAATCTCCGCCTGTGCCCGCTCTATAGCCTCACAGTGCTGTGCACACAGGTAGCAAAGGATAGAAGGAATTGTCGAATTATCTTTCTATATAATTATTTTTTAAAAAGAAGAAAAACACAAGATGTGCATTAAAAAAAAACAAAAAAAAAAAACTGATTTATTATGTTACAGCCTAATAAAAACACGAAAACATGAAGCCCTATGTAGGATGTATTTTTGGTTTCTCCATCGGCACGGGCTCTACAGTGATTTGGAGAGCACACAGAAGTAATTCACAGTAATTAAGGTGGTAGAGTGGGTTCAGTGTTGGGGAGTAACGGAATACATGCACCAGCGTTATGTATTTAAAATACAAAACATGAGTAACTGTAATCCATTACAGTTACCGTTTAAAAAGGTGATATTGAAATAAATGGATTACACGGCGGTCTTTTCTTGTTTCATATGTTAGGCTATGCTCTCTATTTTTGGTAATTCCACGCTGGTGGAAACCCAAACAAAACACGCATTAAGAGGCTCCAATGCCTGCGTCTCAATCTCGTGGCCCATGTCACCTCTACTTGTGGCCCGCATAATGAGGTGAAGAAATATTTTTAAAAATTATTCACAAAAATGATTTAATATGAAGGCAATAGGCAGAGTGTTACAGTCATCGCCCTAAAGAATGTAGCCTCATGGGCAGTGTAGTCCGTGCTGCAGGGAGAATGGACCGCCATACACGTTATGTGTCTGTGAGCGCGAGGAGGGAGAAAAAGAGTCGAAAAGTACGAGTTGTCACCGACCAGAAACCGGAGATTGAAGCATGCAAATATAATAATAACCACTGCAGCCAAAAAGAGTGCCTGACGAGCCCAGTTGTAAGTGAGCTATTGTAAGTTGTAAGACTCGACTGTACACTGTGTTCGTGTTTTCCTCCGAAACAATAAGTTCCGCTGGAGCAGCCTTTCAACGCCTTTCTCTGTCTCTCGCTAGAAACGTTGACCCAGACAACAAAGTAAAGCTAGTTTTCGGCTACGAGCCCGACACGGAACCCGACATATTAGCCAGAGGTCCCTTTACTACGGTTCGGAGCCGCAGACCTGTTTTATATACACACAAAATAGTTTTCTATACGAGATCGCTGCAAAAAGTGCAGCCTTACCTACTGTCCACCCTACTGTTACTCATTTTATAATAAGATTTAAAAATCTAGTTGGTATTGGTATTTCAGTAACAGTAATAAATCACACAGTAATAGTACACACTGTCCCACATGTACTGACCTCTGCTAGCTTAGCCTCATACTCCACAGACATCTGGGAGCAGACCTCTTCAGCCCTTGAACGGCAAGCTCTCTCCACCTTGACTTTCCAGTGTTTCTGGATCAGAGACTGCCAGGCAAACCACACCTTCTTCTTCAGCTGCAAATTGTAGTGCTGCTGTGCCACCTGAGAAGAACGAGCCTGGCGGGGAACCACAGGGCTGTGATTTGTAATATTTACAAGGCAATAACTACGTCTATAAGTCACTCCTGTGCAGCTGCATTCGTTCTCGTCATGAATGTTATGTCGTGGTTTATACAAAAATATGAATTGGCCGATGAGTTAAGTAGTTCACATTGAAAAAACAGCAACAGTGGGGGGGGGGGGCACAAAATTTAGTAAACCAGTAGTTTGGACGTAGCAAAAATCTCTGACAATTTAAAGGTAGAGACGGGTTTTACTATTTGATGAGCATTTCTAATATCACAAGCAACTTCTAAAATATCATGTCAAAAGGTTTTGAAATCTTCTTAAACACCATACCTCTTCTTTGGCCTCGATGTGCTGGAGTCTCCAGTGGGTGAAGGCCCTCATCTTCTCAAGCTTTTCTTTCTGTCTGTCCAGTACTTGGCTCAGGTTCCCGATCACCTGAAAGAGTCCACAAAACAAGCCCATTGGTCTAAAAAAAAAAAAAAGGAAGGAAGTAGAGTGCTTCTTGAATTTTTTTTTTTTAATTTTTGTTTGTTTTTACACAGGCATGCAAGGCATAATGTGCAAATTAATTAATAAAGACGTATATAGGGGCCTAACAAAACACTGATACGAGGACCTTAAATGTAAAAGTCTTTTTTTAGCCTTTCATTGCACTAAATATAATATTTTTGCACTCTAGTCTCCTAGAGACACGAGACATTAGTTGATGTCAGCTTGGAGTCCATGATTTTGTAATGGGTGTTTTTACAGTTTTTTCGTGTTTTGTTGACAAAAAACAAAAAAAACAAAAAAAACAAACAAACAAAAAACAACAACAGGTGATTAAATAAATGACAAATTATTCTGCAAATTACCTGATAACAAACAGCTAAATGATTTACTAGATAAAGCAAATAAACAGACGTGTAGTCACCTCATCTTTCCTTTGGTTGGAGGTTTCATAGGTTTGTAATAGCTGTTTAAGGCTATCTAGCTCTGACTTCAGGCCAGCTGTCTGGGCTGCATGCCTCTCCCTCTCCTTCATCATCTCCAGCTTGTGTTGCTCAACGAAGGCCAACTTCCACTTCCGTAGCTCCGTCAGCACATTTGACTAATTAGGGAATAGAGGGTTGGGCTGTCACAATGTGTTCATTACTCTACTTTAGCAAACATGAGCATCTGTACAAATATCTGTAGTTGCTTTTAAATTACATGAACAGGTGTGCCAGACAGATGCAACTGCACAACACAGAAATCTTGAAGAATTCATCTCTAAGTTTTCTTTTGCTGGACTCAGTTCTTGACATCTGAAGTCCAGCAAACTTAAGCCAGATTTATGCTACTGCACAGAGTGTAAGAGTTTTCCACCAGAGATGTATTATTTTACAGTTCTGATGTGTAGTTCCAGGTTTAGAAGAACTTTCAAACCCCTCCCTCAACACACGAGTGTACTATTTAACCCACATCTCCTTCTCCTTCTGGCTGGTACTGCTTTTTTCTTAGATTAAGCTTTGCACAGCTTAGCAGGTGATTGGCTGTCATCTGCTCTCCATGAATGAGCTGTACAAAATCAGAGGAAAAGGGCAGGATGGACACCCACATGGAGACACCCATTTCCTTTAGAATAATGTCTCCAGGAAACACAGTTAAAAGGTCAACGGTTCCATGAAGAGCAGCGAGGTGTCATCCTTTTCAAAAAGTCATCCTGAGGCTCAGACACATTCCCTCTATATAATCTCTAATCTGACCACAGGCATAGTATAACTTTCTAATGACAATGGCAGAGAAAGAAGAGTGTGAAAAATATCATTATGATCAAAAATGCCAGAAACTATCTATGCATCAATGCTGTTTGCTGCTATGTAAAAGCCCACAGGAGAAACCGAGCGGCTGTGAAGGACAGTTGTACACTGTGTGGAAGCAGACTAACCTTCAGGTTGTTGCTCCACGTGTCCAGAATGTTCTCCATCTTGTTTATGTTCTCCTCTGAAATAAACATCTCTGTCACAACAAACTCAAAGGGTTCTGGGGTATCTGGCCTGGACCTCTCAGATGCCACCTGTAACCTCTCTGAGGGATTATCTGAGAGCAGTGACGCCCTGCTAGACAAATGACCTGCCATCTTCTCAGCTGGAGTGGGGAAAAAAAAAGCACAACCGCAGACAGACAGGCAGACTATGGCTGAGAATATGAAACAGTATTATGACAGTTACACATAATAAGTATTTTGTTTCTCTGAAATTTTACAATTATTTTACCACGAGAGGCTCTTGAGTGTGTCGAGTGTGGCTCAACAATCAAGGGGGAGGCCTGTGACGATCTCAGGCTCCTGCTAGAGTGCCGCCCATCCTTAGCTTCAATGGCAGAATCTGAAAGAAGATACAGGAGTTACAGTGAGCAGGTAGAGGAATAGATAAATGTGGCTAAAGATAGATTAAAATGATTGATTTAAAAAATGTAATCCAAAAAAGTCAGAAAACAAAAAACAGCTTAAGAGCAGAAAATGTGAAGGTGAGAGTGGTAAATAAGATGAGTGTGGCTCCTTGTCCAAGAAAGCATTTATGTCAATATCTTAATTAAATTCTGCAGGGAGGGAGAAGAGAAAGCCTGCACTCTAAAGAGCAGTACGGGCAGAGTGCCAGGAGATCATTACCAATTGGCCCGTCTGCTTTCTACATCCTCGTGCACGACTCCGTGACAGTTAAAGCACTAAACCTCAGATGAGAGTCACAACAGGGGAGGAAACTGATGGAGTGTTTAAGATGTGGGTATTGCAGGGGAAAGAGATAGGGGGTACAATATGACAGACTGATATCTAGTCTTTTTACACTGGTTTAAAAGATGAAAATATAAAGCTGATGAATACACACACACATTTTCTCCATATTTTGATGCCAAATCCTTTCTGACAGACGATCATTTGATGCAGACAGTGTCTGGAAGGGCTCATATTCAGTTTCAGTCAGCCAGTCCCGGTGAACTGTGTGCATGTTTTGTTTTGTTGCCTCTTTTTCTAAGCTCTCTAGACTAACATGACCTAGATGACTGTGAACCTACACAGACATGTGTATGAAAGTGTTCTTCATACAGGAGGAAGCAAACATACCTGGTACACGTTGAAACTTTGTGCCATCTTTATTTCCACCCGCTGCAGACAGATGCGAGGTGCTCTGCTGCTTCAACTGAACGCCAAGCGCGTCAAATTTAGGGGTGATAACAGCATAACGGAGGAGCTCCTCATACTCATCCTGTTAATTGATAAACAATAACAAAGAACAAGGTGGTCAAATATCAATTGAAGCATGTTACAGTTTGTATTTTTCTGTGTATTGTTTCAAGTCTGTTTATTTTGGTTACAACATTTTAGTGTGACTCTTCAATTTTGACACCTAGTGATGCTAAGACCATGTTATGTAAAGCTTTGCTCAACCTAACAGAGTCCATTTGGACTTGCAACACAGCAAAACTACTTTCACACAAGGTTCTAGTTCAAGCAACCTGATATCACACACGATTTTGGTTGGCAGACTAATTCAAATGGTTGGACTCAGACAACAGCAAACTGAATCACCAATCGTGTAAAATGTTGAATTTAATATCCAAACTTTTTCAGAGCAGCTTCTAGACAATCTGTCCTTTTACCATTTAATACAAAAAAAAATAGATGAGTATTTCCTTTTAATAAATAATAGTTTTCCAGTGGTGGAAACATGGTTCCATAGAATTATGAGTGTAAATAAAAGCACATTTTCACCTGAAGCTCAGAGGACACGGAGCTGCCCCGGTCCGAGTCTTTGGGGAGAACAGGACTGGTTGGTTCTTCTTCGTCTGAGGACATCTAAACACAGAGATATACAGTGTCATAGTGCTAGTTTAATAACACAGCATGAGCTATCAATAACTGGCCATACGGACGGGACCTACTTTGGTATGTTACTATATAGTATTTATTTTAATTTCAGCTATGGCCACCACCGTTATCTTTGGCAGCTATTGATAGTCGTTGGTACTCTTTTGTTTGTTTTGCAAACCGTACATGGGCATAAAACATATTCGGATGCGTTTGATTTATAAAAGAAACTTTAATACTTATTTCAAGCTACAGCTGAAGCCTTCTGTTTAAGTTTCTTTAGCCCAAACGCTAGTTTCTACATTACAAACTAATGAAGGTACACACAGAGTAAACAGAAAACTTCCTCATGCACAAAGAAATCCACGAATATGCTTATCTGTACGCTTAAAAAACTTTACATTTTTCTATATTTTACTCATTTACAGGCGCATTAATTGATCGAGTTAAACAAACATCGTTAGCTAAATAAATCAGAGCTAAAGCTAAAACAGAAATGGAGAAGTGGAGACAGAAATACAGCTGCTCATTAAAAAAAAAACTAAACTACTTGAAGTGAGTATATCTACCTCTGTAAGTAGCGCCGCTTTTCGGAAACTTAACTATTTTATAAAACCATAAAAAGTACCACGCTTGCCCGTTTCACAAGTCGTCAGTTGAAAGGTGCTTGGGCTTGCTTTGCCGTTTCAAACAGCCTGGCTCTTAAACAACAGACTCTCTGATTGGCTACTCTTTTTAACTGGCCCTACTATGTCGCCTCTGATTGGTTAAACTATTCCTATGGCAACGATAAGCGGAACGAAGCTACTTGTCTTGTGTTTTAAATATGAAAGGTGTGCAAAACCTTTTACTGTGATTTTGGAAAATATTTTTTATTTACTTCACACTTATTTTCGCCTCCAGTGTCACAGTGCCGTAAGTATCAGGGTTTTAAACTAAAGGAATCATGGTGATAGAGGCAAATAGGACCTCTTCTTTTATAACAGGTTGAAAATTAATACTTGAAAGACCTACTTTAATTGCCCCTAGAAAGTTTCGGGTTTGCTCACTTTGCTAAAGTTACAAAAATGATTGGCTCATTTAAAGAGCAACATGGTTTCCATATTGTGTTTCAAATGCAGTCTGATGTTAGCTGAGATTATCTGATTAAGTTCATTTTCATGAGGAAGTAAACTCACCTGTTTTAGGAAGGTGTAGGTCATTGGGGAATACCACCACCCAGTGAACCTCCCTGTGGTCATTTCTCTATTGTTCATAAGCCCAAATGCAGATACAGACAAGGGTTCACAATCTGAATTGCAGCAGTGCCTTAACCACTTGAGGACTTATTAGTACTTAACAGTATTATGGCACATATGTGGGATAGGCCTTAACGGCTTGGCAATAGTAGCCTGGGACGGACTCCTGAGAGAGGAGACATATGGTACCTCTCAGCCATGGCAGAGCTGAAAGCAGCACTGTTGGACTAGAGCCTCCTCACCAGCTGGCTCAGAGTACTTCACTGTCCGAAGGTGTCCAGTCAGCATTGTTATAAGACCCGCAGCCTGACATTAAAAAAAAAGAAGAAAGAAGTAGTGACTTTGGTAATCTTCCCCTAAAACAACAGACTTAGAGGAATCGCACAGTTTTGGATGTAATACATTTTCAAATCAAATATACTGTACTTACTGGAAGCAAGACCTGGCACAGGCAACCCTCAGCACACACAGACACACACATTTTATTACATGTCTTGACAGCTGACGCAGGCTGTGAATTTGAACCAGAACTGTGAGGCGTAGAGGATAATCCTAGCTGCTCGGCGGGGAGTGGAGGTTTCCTGTTGAATGACAGGAAGCTGTAACTCCCCACAGATTACTTATTTCCATTTCGGAGCAGATGATTCACATGTTTTGAAAGGTTTCAGTGATGCGTTCATCGCAGTTTCTCTTTCGAGGTGATTTTTTTTTTTGTCATTCCAGCATGGTGTTGCTTTGCTTCTCTGGTTTTCTGTCATGCTGTGGTATATTCCTAATTTTCTGCACTTGTCTTTCTCTGTAGGAAAGTTAAAATGACAAGGACTGGCTAAGACTAGACAATGACAGGATTTGCATATAAAAAGCAAAATAAAAAGAAAGAAAGAAAAAAAGCAAAAAATCAAGGAGTTTTAGACCCTTGTGCCATCTTTTTGCAATGCACAATACAAGACATGGCAGATAACTGTAGATGTGTTTAATACTGCCCAGGCTCTTCTTGCCTGCTACACGATTTCTTTGCCTTGAATGCCCGTAAATTGTATCTTGCATAAGATTAAATAAAGTTAAGTGTAGGTCTGACATCTAAATTAATCTAACTAACACAGAGCAGCAGTTAAAATCTAGGCAAATTATTTGAAACCATCTCCGTTCTTTGCAAAATGTTTTTCTTTTGCTGCAGAAAAAAAGTGATAAACTACTGTTGATAAGTGGTTAGATTACACCCGGTATTACCACCTAAATGCTTTCTTTAGATCCCTTTTGTGAGTTTCACCTTCCTCTCAGTAAAAGAAATGCACCTGGGCTTGTGTGTTGAAATGGGATTCAGCTCACATTCTTCTCCCACAGCCTGTTCAATCTGTTCCAGGACAATAATCACAATCCATTTGACTTTCTTCCCTCTGGTATTTTAGCTCAGCTGCGTTAGACTATCCAGGACCTTGCAAAGGTAGACAGAAAAGAAATGAGAAAATAATGTTTTGAGCTTTTGCATGTTTACCTTGTTACCAAGCCTTTCCTTGCTCAACTTTTATTTTTTCCCCCAGAGAATTTAAATTTAAGAGATTGCAGAAATGTATAGTATTACAGCCCTTTTCTTTTGTCCAGCACGCATCATTTCATCTGTTGCATCTGATGGTGGAACGGTGGATTACAAACTTGGTGTAAAATTGTTTCTGCCCTTGATCGATTTTCAGTCAGACCTACTTACAGACAGCCATAACTCCTGAAGACAACAACTAATGTTCTATCATCAATCGTAATGTTATCAACCAATTTTTCCCATATATGAGACAATAATGACCTCTCACTGAAGACAATGTTACCAGAACTCATCTTAGAGTTATTCATCGCTGCCTGCTGTTTTCAAATTAGTTTTCATTACATGTTGATGGAGCGGGACTTCCCCCTTGGGCCACTCTAATCCATCACATCTCTCTATCAATGACATCCGTGTCTTTTTGTTTTGCTCTCTAGGTAGCAAATTCACCGGCACTTCTAAACACATACCTACACACAGATGAGATGCAACAAGTCAACAGATTTTCTTATATCAAATTCGAAACGTATCCCTGCAGTATGACTAAAGCTGAATCTAGTATAAAGTGGTCAGCAGTATGAATGTAGATGAGCGGTGGAGGTGGACAGCAAAAGATGGAGGCTAAATCAGTTAACCAGTGCTTCTATCTCCACAAGACATAAGCAATTACCATCAGTGTCCACATCTGTTATAATCTGGATGAAGATAAGCAGCAGACAGTTGTTCCAGTGTAATTTATCAAGGAAAGCTGATGCAGCAGGTACCACATCCATATATCAGACTTATATATGGGACAATATAACTGGCTCATCTTGCTTTGCAAATAAAAAGTTGCTGGTTCAATTCTACAAATTCCCATTGAGGCTGAGTTAGGAAGAACATCTAGTGTAAAATTCAATTTAATGAGCGGCCCCTTGTGACAAGAGAGCAGCTGGAAGTAGCTTTTTGATGCTGTCCTCTCACAGATTTAGCCGAGTAAATTTTTTAACAGAACTAATGAGGACGTAATTTAACAGTTGTGTCATCGCATAGTTCTTCAAACAGTCTCAGGATCTCGGTCTGCAGCACATGTAGCAGAGCAGCATTACAGCTGAGGAGGTGGAGTCAAGCCGTGTGTCCTTGTTAAGTAGTCACTAAACAATGACCCTGTTGTTTTACCTTCCCTTCTTTGTGTGGCTTCTCTCCAGGTTGTCCGACTTCCTCCCACAGTCCAAAAACATGCTTGCTAACTGGCGGTTCTAAATTGGCTCTAGCTATGAACATGAGTATGAATGCTTGTCTGCCTCCTTGTGTTAGTCCTGTGATGGATAGAGCTGTCTAAGTCACCTGCCTCTTACCCAGTAACAGCTGGGATAGGCTCCAGCCCCCCTCATGTTCCTGAATTGGGCAAGCAGAAAATGAATGGATGGATGAAGTTCATAACTTAGTGTTGGGTGTTTTTACCAATATTTGTCAATATCAGTGTGGGCAGTCAAGAACCCATTGCTTAGTCAAGCCAAGTATGGCAATGGCCATGTTTTTGGGGCACCCTCCTGTTTCAAATGGTAGTCATTGTTTACAAATGCAGATTATTTCTGAAAACTAATAAAAAGTCAGTGTTTGACACACTAATTTCAGCAAATGTAAGCACTCTTTTGTTGTCCACACACACTGCTTACCTTCCTGCAACAAAAGCCTGATCAAACGTGATTGGTCAGTGGAAATCAGACTACAAGCAGAGTGGTACAAAAATCCTTTACCTTGCCTATAGACTCTACATACAGGCCAGGCAAAGGCAAGACAAAGTCCAACACTGGCACTATTCTAATAACTACCACAAATAGTAGGCTGTATTTACATGAAGCATGGGATCTTATTAAATTCACATCTATTGTTTGTACATGTAAATGTCCAAAGCTCAGGGAAAACCCCATCTTTATCATGCTTTCTGTAATAAAAGATACTGAAATCCATGAGGATCTCATTTTAGTGTTGGTTGTGTCTGTGTGTGGTGTGGTTGGTTGTGGGTTGTTGTTTGTGTTGTGTGTGTGTGAGTGGGTCTATTCTACTGTCCCGTACATTAAGCTGTGCTCCTGAGCTACAGCAGTAGTAAATGGAGTCTTATGTCTCGGGGCTTGGAGGGGGCTTCTCAAGTCCAAATCAAAAGCAGAGTGTGTCTCAAACCCCAGGTCACTGCTTCTGTGAATCATCAAGTTCAGAGGAAAAGGATAGAGGCTTTTCTTTTTGTTTGTGTGTCTGAGCGTGTGCGTATGTGTTCCCCTTCACGTTTTCTTGTTGTGCATGTTTTAGTACACAGTGTGTGGATCATTTAAAATCTTACTCTCTGTCATTTGTCCTGAACATGATGCATAGCCAGCGTTACAAACATGTCACGGTGCACAACCAGGCTGTCCTATTCACTGCACGTCCTTCGTATTAACAGGAAAAGCGATTGATTTAAAAAAAAAAAAGTTTTTGAATAATGAAAGTAAAGAATTAGATGCACTGGATGTAACACATCAAAGAGCTTGCTTGTAGGTGTTTTCTGCAGTGGACGGTGTTCTGGTGTCTCACTGGTTTTGTTGGTGTAATTTGCAGCTGCAAACGATGTGAATACTGAAAAGCTGAATATCCCTGTGCTTGCATCACTCTGTATTTTCCTTCTTTCCCCCCCTTGCCTCATTTTCTGCAGGAGTCACTTGCGGGTAGTATCTGACATAGCAGCGAACTGTCAGTTGCTATATCATGCTTAATCTAAAGATCCTCGGTATCTCTTAACAGCCTGTGATCGGTTATGTAATTATTATAACGGGACTGCACACCCTTTGTGTGGTGTTCATCAATACTATTATTCCCTCTGTGGTCTTTAGTGAGATGAAAGAAATTAGCATTTCTCTTGCTCAAACTGCATTGGGAATTCAAAGGCTTTACTCACTGCTCAGGTTACTTCACACTGTCAAA